GTGGCCCGACCGCGGCCTGGCGGCACTTTCGCCAAGGTTGCACGTGTGCGCTTCAACCAGCAAGGAAACAAATTTGGAGTGATTGATGGGGATGGAAACTTGTCCCTCTATCAACTAGGTTTAGCATCACAAGTCAACAAGCAGTTCTATGTAAGCTTTTTCAGTTCTTCTCTTTTCTTTCTCTTTTTAGTATTAATTGTAGTATTATTTTATTATTTTTTGTACTCTGAAAGAGAATAGGAGATGCAGGTATAGAATTAAAATGTCAATACTAGTTTGGATGCAGTAAGCCATTATCAACTGCATTTTTAGAAAATGTAGTTTGTATATCATTTCAATACTATAAGTGAGTATTGATTATCCATGGTCTGATTGCATTTTTTTTTCCAGCTTAAATTAGTTGTCAGTATTTGTGGTAGCTCAATTTAAAAATTAAGTAAATAAATTGATGAGTGACAAGCAAAAAGTGTAAGGTATTCTCATTGCATTGTTCTACAATTTCACATATCATTGTCACAGTCTCTTTTACTCTTGTTGTAGTGTTTTCTTCATTACATTCATAGTGTGAAAATTTCTGTTATCACTGTTATAGACTTTATCTTATTATAATTGTAAGGTCTCTTTTAATATTGTAGTTTCTTTTATCACTTTTGTAGGGTTTCTCTTCTCATTGTTTTAGTTCTTTTTTATCACTTCCTGTTGGGTTTCTCATCACTATTGTTACAGGTTTTGTTTTAACCCATTCACCACAGAATGGTATCCTATCACAGTTGAGCCTGTTCCTTATTGTGGGCACTAAACAATAGTGCATTTGTTTAGCCCCTAGCCTAACTTTGGCTCAGGGGAACAGCCCCTCAAAAGTAGGCTTTTTAGCCTCATTATGTAAACAATTGTATATGCTGTGGTAGCATAAAGAGTGAGGTGATTTGATTTTTCCCATGCTTCTAATTTTTTCCCTTGAGTAGCTGACACGCATGTACCCAAAGGTGTCTCTGAGTACGGTGATGTAGAATACAAAATATATTCGAATGGTATTTAATAAGAAGTAATTTTTTGGTTTAGGGTTATGTTTGGTCTGATTTTATCTGCATACAAGCCAACTAATAGATACATTTTCTCTCTGCATGCAGACTCACCAGTGCCATAATAAGCATGGCAGTGACTTTGTCTTCATTGGGTCATCTAGCCTCATTGCTACGGCTGGACAGTCCTCAGAGCATCGTAATGTTGCACTCTGGGATACTCTGATGCCACAACGAAAAGCAAATGTTGTCTGTTAGTATATTTTGATTTTTTAAAAGGTTTTGATGAATGCATTCTTTATAATTTTTTATATATTACCATATTCTTTACATGACCATTACATTTGGTATCATTATTTTACCTTTACTTAAAGTACTGAAGGATGATGTCCTGTTTACATGTTTTAAGCTGTAATAACCTGAAAACAAATAAAAGTAGAGCAGCCAAAGATTTCAAGATTTTGGTGATATGAACTTTAAGTGTTAAAATTCTTGTTTCTAGCTTGGACTTGTCATGATAATGGAGCTTCAGCTTTGCTCTATGCTCCACAACATCAAGTGATCCTGTCAGCTGGTAAGAAAGGAACAGTGTGCATCTTTGATGTCAGACAGCGAACTCTGCGACAGAAATTCCAGGTAAGATGAAAGATGAGTCCTGAAATGATATTGATATGTGTAGACAACTGTTTATGCATCTTAATTTTTTCTTTCTTCCTCTGGTAATTTGATATGTGTTTGTGATTTACCTTTTTATTCCCCTCTAACAATAATTTGACTTTGATCAAAGGCCCATGATGCTGCAATCAAGTGTATGGCATTAGATCAAAGTGAAGAATTCTTCTGCACTGGTTCAGCTGATGGTGATATTAAGGTGAGTTTTTTTTTCTTTCTTTCTTTCTTTTTAGATAGAGAATTGTAGATATAGAAATGATAATACTTAATATACAGTAAGTCCCCAACTTAAGAACATAATGGGGACCAAGAGACTGTTTGTAAGTTGATTTGTTTGTATGTCGAAAGTTGGGTCTCCATTACCTTTTTTCCCATTGTTTTAAAGTTTTGTTTACATTAAGAATACCTGTAAATAAATCCCAATAAGTACTACATACCTTATACAGTACCAGACTTGAACTATATTCGTGCCCGGGAAATTTGAAGTTTGCTACCATCTCTCAAACAATTTTTTGGACTTTAGTACTTAAAAAATTTTGTTTGTATGTATGGAATGTTCATAAGTAGAATGTTCGTAAGTAGGGGACTATCTGTATATGGTTATTGACTGATCAGCAAAGGAAAAAAAAAAATCTAGGAAGTAATCACATGTGTTCTTTGCCATAGGTATGGGGGCTTTCCATCCATAACCTGATATACAACTTGCCTGGTGAGCATTCACGATCATCTTTATTCAAGAACTTAAGTCAAGGTGTGACACAGCTCCAACTGGACAATAAGAATCGGCTTTTCTCCTGTGGTGCCGATGGCTCTATCAAACTAAGACAACTCCCTGAAAGAGACTTGAATATCAGTCTCTTGTAAGGTGCATCATTCTATTGTTTTGTTTTTCCTTTTGTAATTACAAAGCATTTCTTATGCTAAAGGGAGTTTTTAAAGGCACAGATGCTTAAATAGGTTGATTTCACCAGAAAACAATGCAACACACAATTTTGTTTCTATGCAATCTATTAAAAATCTAGGTACTAGGTCTTTATAGAAAAAACATAGCATTTTTTAATGGTTTCACAGTTTCATCAATAAGTTGTTGTGCATCTAAGGTAGTTTTAGTTGGTGCTAGCAATGACTCATTTGAATTTAACATTTTATGCAGGAGTATAGAAGAGGGATGTGCAGTTCTTATTTATAGGAAGTATATATGTATATATGAATGGCAGTAACAAGTTAAGGCTGTGTGAACATTACAGTTAATTTAAGAGAAGATTTTTTTTCACAGTAAGTTTCAGGACTTTTAAATAGGGTATGCCAATTATTTTTGTTTTCCTATGGAAATATGGAAATGACTGGTTTCTGTTTTTCAACTGTTTTCCCTCTGGTATTTATTATTATTTATCTAAGGTATGCTGAAAGCATAAACTTAAATGAAGCAAGTATTATATGAGATAGCTATAGATTATATTACAAAAAACAGACAGTTTTTGTGTATAGGCTGAGTCATATCTCAGGTTAATATATAAAAACAGAGAAAGAAGAAATAATCAATTAATATGAATGATGTGATTGATGTATTGTTAATGCTAATAACGTGGAATGTCTGTTTATGTATATGTTCGTGTGCATCTATCTATGTGGTTGTGTGAAAAGGGACCATAATAATGTTGGTGTATTATGGGGCCAGTTTTGAGACTGGAATGTGAATGTAAATGTACCATGGCCACCAGTTTACCTGATTGCATGTAAGTCAGAAATAATGGTGCATTTCAGGACACTTAGTAGGAATGACTAGAAGAGTGTGCATTTGCTTATATATATACATACATAGAATGGTTCAAGCTGAATGGCTGAAGTACTTTAATGTTTTTCATATAAGGAACTATTATGTTTTAATGAATAATGCTAAACACAAAGCACTGAATCATGAACACATTTTTGCTGTCTTCCTTTAAGTCTGTCTGCAATAACCTTTTTTCAGAGAATTAATGTTGTACTTTGAAGAAAATAAAAGTGTTTTCACTCATTATTAATTGATTCTAATGGTAATTTACTTTGCTTTTTCATTTCAAATAGGACACAATTACTGCATAGCTGGTATTGATTAAATAGGAACAGTAAGATATAATTTTTCCAGTTTGTGATGGAAATGATGAATAGTGTTGCATAAGAAATGATGTATTAATAATGATATAAGAAGGTAGTGAAAAAAATGTAACAGCACTGATACTGGACACCCATATTGTGTATATATATGTACATACACTGTCGTGTATATACACACTTGCACCCACTTTAACCTCCTTAACCATACTACAGTTTTTGTGCCACATAGAATCCCAATAAAAGAGATTATGTTAACTCAGATGTAAAATGAAATACAATTAAGAAAGAGCTATCTCAAAACCTATCCTCTTTTGTTTATATGTATATGAATTTACTTAGGTTTTAAAATTACAGAAGATGTTCAGTTTTAAAGTTTTATTATAATATATATTGTATATCATAGTTTTTTTTTAATTATTTAATTTGTTAATGACAAAATATAAATATATGTAAGTAGATGCTTGTTGATTCTAACTCATCTGCTTAAAGTTTTTAAAAAATCACATAGTTATTTTTAGGGAAATTGAAGGAGAGAAAAGCACATGCAGTGAGAGAGTCATTCATCTTCTGTGCTGGAAGAATGAGAAGTAAAGTTAAATAGACATGTTGATGTTTTTTCCCCTCATAGTGAATAGCAGAATTCAGATCTGGTTCGAAGTGGAGCTTCAGCAGGTCATTTCAGTGAAATTTTGCCTTCCATTGTATATCATAGTTGATGAAAGTCTGTCATCACCAAGGAAAGACCATTTAATTGGTTATGGATCTCCTCATCTTGTTATATACCTTGATATATCAATATATATGCTGAAATGTCGAGAATAATGTTGTATTGTAACAAATAATTATATGATTTTTATTAAAGTCCATGTTGTACGGTTGTAATGGTAGCAGCAGAGTGTAACAGATACATTATGATTTTCCTGTTTCCAAACAACACCAAGTCTAGGAATGTGGTAATTATCTTTTGTTATTCCTTCTTGTTTGTAAATAACACTTTGCTTAGCTGTATTTCCATAAATTTGTTGATTGTTTACAATAAATACAGCACATTTCCAATGTAGCTAAAAAGATCGATCCACTTGCATCGTACATTCCAGATTTTATATTTTTGTCCCAAGTATTATAACGAAATAAGGTCATAATAATGTATTGTGAAGGTTATATGTATACATAGTTTTGTGGAATGGATATAAATGTTAGAGCGAAGAATTGGTTTCATTTACATATCCCAAAATATGTGCTTTTATTTTTATAGCTTGCAGTTAATCAAAAAAATTCTGAGAATTGTGAATTGCACATCGAGTACTTAACCTTGAAGAGCTCAGCCTTTTTAATTAATAAGTAATATAAGCAATATAATGCTTATTTCAACACATACATAATTCCTTTTATACATAGATTTAATAATACATACATAAAATATGTGCTTGAGTATGTGAATGTGTATGTACAGTTAAGAGCTGCTGAAATTAAGTTTGACAATCAAGTCTTATCACTGAAATGTATCCTTAGACATACTGGTCAATTATGCAATAATAAGAATTAGAATTAGAATAACTGATCAGCATTGTTCATTTAGGAACATTGATAATAATTATTATGAATACGGTATTTTATGCTTTATGCATTTCATCATTGATTTTGTATACTCTCAAGCAGGCAGGGGCATTTTTAATTAATGGGAATCAGAAATTTGCCTTCTTCCCCATTCTTTTTGTCTCGGAAATTTTATTCCCAGTTCTTTTTATAATTATTGGCATTGCTTTCAGGGCAATATCACTTGCTTTCAGATCTCTTGACTGTAATGGTATCTTGATAAAACTGGTCTCTTTTCAATGCTCCCCCCTGACAGAAAATCCCTTTAACCCATTCCCGCCGGGCATGCCATGCCATGGCCACTGTTAGATTACTTGTTGGATTGTTTTTACACATAGATGGCTACACTTGTACTAAATCACCAATGAGCCAGTTACGAGTACCGCCTGTCTCACCCGTTCACCCTTTTCTTTAATTTACGAAATATTTTACGTTATCTTATTTTGCTGTTACTAATCTTAAAAAACATTATAAAAATGATAAAGTTTATAATAAAAATAACACCATCGATATTCATGGCTCTAGTGAAAAATACGTATTCAAATCAGGCATTAACAGAGCCATCTATGGGCAGACTATTCACAAAAAAATATAGAAAATAAGCTCAGCATTTTCCCCCATTTTTTGTTCATTTTCCCCGGCGGCAATGGGTTAAAAGACATACAAACTGGGATTCAAATTTTATAAAAATAGAGAGAAAGGGAGCTGTGAAAGCATGCGGAATAGTTGGGAAGTGAGAAGTGAACAAGACAGAAACTTTGTTTACTTAAAGTTATCACAGATGAATGAAAATGAAAGTCTAACCTCTTTCTCATTCTTTCTCTCTAATCTCTAGCTCATTGTTGTAATGGGGGGTTTAGGAGATGGAGATTGAGGCCCAGTGTAGGGGACCACCCCTACCTTGGACCTCAACCCTTGCCTCAACTAATTTTGCATGGCCATTTCTTTTCCCATTCCATCTCCTTCTCTTCTTCATCCCTTCTGTCCACTTCCGAAAGCGTGAGAGCCGTGCTGAAAGGATGAAAGGCTGGCCATGAATGGCCTCCAGGAGCCATGGGCACAGTATTGCCTTGGTCAGTAACCTAGCCCTTACCCCTCATTGGGACACTGAGGGGTAGACCGTTTTCTTTCGCCATTTATTTCAGGCTTATCATGGCCAAGAATAATAATTTTGTATCCTTATTAGGGATATTAAGGCTTGCCCCTTCATCAACTAGCCTATCTAAATTTGATTTCATTGGTTTCCTGACCCTTGCCTCTTCTTTGACCACGGCTCCAACCTCTGATACTAATATCCCCCTCCTCTATGTTTGCCATCAACTCTATCCATTCCGAATCATCTACCAACCATCTCCAAACCTTTTGAGTACCCTTTTTGACCTAGCCAAGTGTGTTCGATTCTTTGTAATTCCCCCTATAAACTCACTGTGACAATGCCCTTCTCTTCCAACAATGTCTCCAAAAACAGGTAGGCAAAGTTTCCTTTTGCAGTCGTTCTGATGGTTTCACCTTGTCACAATTACATCTGAGTCCCAAGCCTCATCAACTATGATGCAGTAGCAGTCCAGTGCTACAACACTGGACTACACTAATATTGCCAAGATTAGCTTTCGTAGACATGAACTTCCCCATGAAGTTTACATCGGTGGATTGTCCTGTCCTGTCCGACCATATCAACCCCTCCTTCCCCGTCATTGTCAGAAATGTTGGCGTTTTGGTGATCCAGGCAAACACTGTCGCTCCTGAGCCTGCTGTTCTTTGTGTGCCTAGCCTGGTCATTACCATTCAAATTGTTCTGCCAATTGTGGTGGTTCTCATAAACTATGTTATGGGAGCTGCCCTACTCGAATCTGAGGTAGCAGTTCTTGGATTCAAACTAGGCCTCAAGCCAGACAAGAAGCACGCCGATGAGGTTTTTCTCTCTACCTATTCCAAAAGTGTACTTTGCTCCGCTCCTCTCCCATTTTCTCAGTCTCAGCGTCTTCTCTAGTATCTCTTCCCTCCACCCCGAACCAACCTATCTCCACTACTCTCTTCCCCCAGTTAAATTCCTTTTCCCAGTCTAAATCCAGATATTACAACCTCTACCACTTCCCCTGTTCCTACCCCTACCCTCCTTCTCACTCTAACTGTCGCACCTGACAATCTAAACATTCCATTCCATCTACCACGTCCTCTCCTCCTACACCCACTTCTCCCTCTGTTCCTCGGACATCTAGTCCCTCTTCTCCTCCACATAAGAAAAAAACTTGTTTCCCTCCCATCCAGAAACTCTGAAAACATCCAAAAGTCCATATACATGACTCAAGAGAATAATCCACTCCCTCGTCCACCCTCTAATCCCTTTATTCGTATTCGCTCTACATTCAAACTATCTGCCAATATCCATCCTCAACCTCCTCAAGTTCCCCCTCCCCTCTTCCCCTCGCTCACTCAAAAAAACACCCGATCCTCTCCTCCATGTGCATCACCATTCCTTCTTTCCCCATTACCCTTACCACCCCCACTTAGATGCTCACCTGACTCCCTTATGCCACAGCAGTGTCCTGTGGATCTCACCCCCTCCTGACATTCTTCCCGATACTTCACCACCTTACCCTGTTCTCTTATTTTATTCTCAGGATTCTTCTCCTAGTTTTACAACTATCGTTTTTTACCACATTACCATTTGATTGTTTCATAATAGACCTTTTATAGTTTTTTCCCCCACAGTGTCATTCACCCTTCCTCAGACACTATCCTGATCGCCCTCTGTATTCTATTTGCCCCCCCCTCTCTATACCCTTTTCACTAATATTCTATCCTACTGCGTTCTACAACCTTTGACATCTAATAATTTCTTATCCTGATCGTTAACTCATTTCCACCCTTTTCGTCACAATACTTTACCATACTGATATATGGCCTTTGATGTCTAGCACATTTATTTCTTCCAACCATTGACCGGTAACCGTTCTCCGGATCTCTCCCCTCCTAACATTCTTCCTGATATTTTACCACCTTCCCCTGATCCCCTATCCCATTCTGAGGATCATTCTCCTACTTCTTCAACTACCATTTCTACCCGTATTACCCCTTCGATTGTTTCATAATGGCTCTTTTGCAATTTTCCCAATGCTTTATTACTCTCCCTTCCTCAGACATATTCTCCATTTGATCTGATCGCCCTTTACCTTTAACCCCTTCTCCTTTTGCAAACTCCCATCGTATTCCATTTGCTCCCCTTCTATAATCTTTTCACTACCATTCTATCCTACAGCATTCTACGACTTTTGACATCTAATAATTTCTTATCCTGATCGTTAACTCATTTCCACCCTTTTCGTCACAATACTTTACCATACTGATATATGGCCTTTGATGTCTAGCACATTTATTTCTTCCAACCATTGACCGGTAACCGTTCTCCGGATCTCTCCCCTCCTAACATTCTTCCTGATATTTTACCACCTTCCCCTGATCCCCTATCCCATTCTCTGGATCATTCTCCTACTTCTACAACTACCATTTCTACCCGTATTACCCCTTCGATTGTTTCATAATGGCTCTTTTGCAACTTTCCCAATGCTTTATTACTCTCTCTTCCTCAGACATATTCTCCATTTGATCTGATCGCCCTTTACCTTTAACCCCTTCTCCTTTTGCAAACTCCCATCGTATTCCATTTGCTCCCCCTTCTATAATCTTTTCACTACCATTCTATCCTACAGCATTCTACGACTTTTGACATCTAATATCTTATCTACTCGTTAACTCATCTCCACATCTCATCTCTAGTCCGGTCATTTCTTCTAACCATTAACCATTTCTCTTTCTTTAAAGAATAAACAACGAACCGCTATGTTTCCATTTGGTACATGTTACGGTCAGAGGATGTACACAAAGAAGACAAGAATGGTTTCATACTCAATCATTCTCTTTCTTTTCTCTTCTTTTCTTTTCTTTTCTTTTCTTTTCTTTTCTTTTCTTTTCTTTTCTTTTCTTTTCTTTTCTTTTCTTTTCTTTTCTTTTCTTTTCTTTTCTTTTCTTTTCTTTTCTTTCTCTTCTCTTCTCTTCTCTCCTATCTCCTCCCCTCCCCTCCCCTCCACTCCCCTCCCCTCCCTTTCCCCTCCCCTCCCCTCTTCTCCTCTTTCTTTTCTCCTCTCCTCTCTAGATATTGAAATACAGACATATATGATTACATCATATATTTTCTTAATTTCCTTCGTAAACCAGATTTGCAAGGAAGATATAATTAAAACAACACATATTGCAATTCGCCTTATTTGATAAAACGTGCAAAATTTTATATTTGTCAAATATTATTCACACAACACCATGAAGTGCAAATAATCTATAGGGTCTATAATATAGTAAACAGATAATGACGAGGATTATGAAAGATATCATAAAATACAGTACAAACACAACAAAAACAAATTTCTGAAAGACTTAAGAAAGTGCAAAGGATATCACCTGGTAACCAGAAGTCTTTGGATCGATAGATATACAATGGAATAACAGTCGTGATACAAATTTGTCTCATTTATCTTCCAAATGTTATGGGGACAATAAATATTTTGCAAATCAAATTTCTTCTATCAACATCCTCTAACTTTGAATAAATGTAAACA